GCAGTGCCGGCCGCGCCCCGCAGGTGGCGCTGGCGCAGCGCTGCCCGCGGCCGGGCCGGAGCTCGGAGGCAGCGCCTGTGAACCTCGTGTGCCGCATCGCAGCACACGCTTTCGCTTTGGATGGACAGAAGGGGAACCCTGTTTTAGGAGCTCACTTTCTGTAAGTTATTTTTACTCTGCGGTGTTCTTCTTTTTTAAATTTGAATTCTTCTCTTCTGCTTCCCAAGTAAAGGACTCCACTAGGAGAGCACAGCGCAGTATCATCAACATAAGCTGTGTTAGTGCCAGTGAGGCTTACTTTGTACGTGTAGATCAGGATGTGTCAGCTGAGTCCTGCTGTGAGCTTTCTTTTTCTGCCTAGACAGAGTAAGGACACAGACAGTCCTTCCATGAATGAAAGTGTTGCATTTGTTGGTCATACAAAAGCAAGTAAGGAGTAGCATGTGATTGTTGCAGTCAGTTGGAAAGTCTTCATTCATTTGGGGGAAAATAGGTTTTTATCTTTTTGGTCTTGAAGAACTGAGAAAAGGAAAATTAATTTATATAAGTTACCTGTCATTAGGCTTATAATTTGATATCATATTGTGAACCCAAGTTTGATATGTATTTTATGTCAGTGTACAGGTTGGTAGTGTCTTGCATTTCTTGAGATGTATGGCAGTTGTAGTAACCTGTCAGAAGTAATCAGATATTCAGGAGAAAAAATTGGGTAGGTTCTTCCTAACCTAAGGGTAAGCAAACAGGTGAACTCCACATTTATATGCAAACTGTTGTGCCCAGCAGAACCCGACACCACTGTTTGTGGCCAGACAGGAATCTTTTGATTGTACAAATTAATTGTACATGTTTCATTTGTCAACAGTTTTGTTTGTTTTTTTAATGGGACTTGGAAATTATATGTTCTTTTTTAATATGGCAAATGAACCCTTAGAAATTAATTTTTAATTTATGTTTTATTTTGGGGATAAAACATACACTTTAATGTTAATGTTTCCCTCCTGGGAATCATGTCTGCTAGTGATACATCCACTACAGTCTTACAGCTGAAATACAATATGAACAGCACACCAAATCAATAACAGTAAATTTGAAATTCCACTTACATATTTGCCATAAAGCATTTGCAACCTTTAAAAACGTTATCATTTAAAACAGTTTGTTCCTTTTATGAAGACTGTAACTTCCAGGGGTTTGTTCAGTGAAATCAAGATACGCAAGTAGTTGTCTTTGAGATCTTTGCGTTTCAAAAGATTCTTGTGATCATGTTTATTTTTCATTAGAATGTGAAAAGGCAGTCTGCTTTGGGTTTATGGTTTTGTTAAGAT